TATTTTATAATTTTATATGTTTGATATGTATTATTTTAATTATTAAATAATAAAAATGTAAAATAACATTAAAAATAAGAAAACATTTTTTTTAAGCCTAAGCCTTGCCTAGATTTGCTTAAACTCGTAAAGCTTAAAGTTTCGCCTCTACGCTTTACTTTTTTTGGAACACTGCTATTTCATGAAAGTACGAGCTTCTTAGTAAATCATCTTGCTTTCTTAAAGTTGTTAAATGATTAGATTTAGTTATAAAGTTGGCAAACATGCGGTCACAACGAGCGACCAATCAGAGACTTTTGAGATTGAGCATGACACTAACAAAATGCCTTCTTAATTTCTTGCAAAACATTCTATATCGCCAAAACTAAATATTTATCAAATTATTCCCTTTCTGGGAAAAGAAAATTAGATGGAGGCCCAATACGTTGACCATGAAATCGGGAAAGTGTTATCACCGTCCAGAAAATTCACACATTTCATAATGTGCATAATAGAGCCTAAACTATGGGATTGCTGCACAAATGATCCCTTATCAAATGCTTGACATTTCCACTGTCAATGTCAATTGGACGGAAACAATTCAGAAGGACCAATTTCGCTCATTAAATGGATGGTTGGGGATGTTTGTGCCTAGATTTGAACGTTAAGGACCATATATGTAGCAACTCCATAGGTTGGGAGCATTTGTACCAATTCCCCCTCCCTATTATAGAAGGTCACAAGAGAATGGCAAACAAACAAAGGATTTACCTTCATAGATTTTGTACAGATTGTGGACTTTTCCTGGAAGACCAATACGACAATATCTGTCAATAAAAACAAATTCAAGCAACTTTTCACTAGCATCGGTTTGGCCTGTTCTTTGTGCAAATATATCAGTTCACCACCATATGATCCACTCCCTTCTACAAAAACGGGATTTAATTTCATGCTCGTGCCATAAACTGCACAAAAACTACATAAAAGATTGATTTCACAACATTCTTTGCTGGCTGGAATTTGTACGTCGGGATTTACCTACATGCTCGTGCAATAAACTGCACAAAAACTACAGAAAAGATTGATTTCACAACAATCTTTGCCGGCTGGAGTTTGTACGTGTTGCAGGTGGCACATCCTGATAGTCGTCAGGCTCATCCTCCTCGTCCGAGGATAGGAAAGATGGACCCATCCATGACTTAAAACCTTCATTCACACGTCTCTCCAAATCTGGTGAGACTTCCATTGGGTATGTTTCGAGCATTTCTAGCCCAAGATTCCTACCAGCAAAATCGCTCTCGTCATATATTACAGCTGCTTTTCTTCTTAGGCAGAAGGCAGTTCCCCCATACAAAAAGACCAGCCCCCATAACGAAATTTCATAGCACCAAAACAAAGGCAACGAGCAGGGGCTACCTAGTGTGAGGAGAGTCGAACCAAGAAATAGGGCAAGAAGACCAAAAATGATTGCAAACACAATGTTCAGGATTGAAAGACAGCGTACACCACCTGTAAATGACCACGAGAATTTCAGTAAAAACTCAAGAACTCATGCTGCAAATAATGCATCAAGATTCAAAAGAAAACAAGATAATTCGTGCAGAAATAATGTAAAGGCTTTGCTTGAACATTCATGTAAAGGTAACTAAAAAAACTTTTATATATATACTTCTATGGAGAAATATATCTTCTTTCTTACATGTGCATTATTGAAACGAGATCATAAAAGCAAGTTGTTTATCATCAAACACTGGAAGCATTTTGGAATTATAAATCCTTTTCCTATTGGGTTTATCTTTTCAAGCGTTAATAGCAGCTGTTAGCCCTACACAAAATTGATTATCTATCAACTCAAAAACCATTGTTGACCACCATATTGGGCGCTTCGATATCAGACAGTAGCTAGTCTACAAGACAGTAACAAATTAACAATACATTCCCTTTGTTTCCCTGCTAAATTTTCATTCCTTTCCACAAAATTTTTCCCATTTATCTCCTTGAATAGGTAATAATTTTTCTTCTCAGCATCTTTCCTTTTGCCTTTCATCAAATCCTTTTCCTTTCTCTCAGTTTCTCGCCATCAATCCCTCATTTTTGACCTTCCCTTTACTGAAAACACTGGAAGCATAAATGGAGAGCCCCCTTTTGTTATAATAAGAGAACCCAACACATGCAACACTCAGAGAGTAGACACCATGCCACTCCAGATGTTATAAGACGGATATTCAGTGTACAAACAGGTATTGAAATCGTCTGACTTATGCATCACGCACAACATTAGCTAATAAAAAATTCAATCAACTTATTTGCCTCCTCTTGGCACCAATCACCATTGACACTTCTAATAGCCCATTACGGAAAAAGGGCACTGTATTGTTCTCTCAACAATCCAACTATTATTTAGTAAATACAAGAGACGTGTTCTTCAGCTTGGTCAGCAACAAATGGTAACAGAAAATTCAGAAGCAGGTCGTGTTGGATTTCATTAGATCATATAAACCATGTTCCTTCTACTAATTGTCAAAATCGTAGATAAGCGTAACCATCCAGATAAATGTTAAAGACATTTTCTAGATAAAAACAAAGATAAATTTTCAGTGTAAATTTAATATGGTAAAACAAATCCAACCTACAAAGTCTAGAATGCAAATGTCCTCTACTAAAAGAGAATCCACCAAAGGAAGCAAGCAGCTGAAACTTTAAAACGCCAAAACACATATGCCATAAAAATTACTGGGCACAAACCACAGCATTCATTCTGTAAAAACTACCAGCATAAGCAAAAGCCAAGTCCAGAAAGTATCTCATACCTCTTCTAGAAGCACAATAACTATTCTCAACCACCTTCAAGCATCCATGTCTTGTTGGAGCAGTATAAGCTACAGTAATTCCTGCAAGACAGATGATCCGCATTATTTGAAATGAAAAAAGCACCAGGATGGTTATATAAACAACAACGAAGAGCAATTAAACACTTTATATAAAGGCCAAAAAATAAGAGAATCAAGTTGGAGCAGGGAAAAGTTGTAAAGCACAATTGAATTTAAAAGGAATCTTCATCTATTTGAGAGAGAGAGGTGTCATTATTCCCTTTGGATGAAGAAGACTATATCCAAATCTTATGTGAAAGTATTTAATCATATGAAATATATGATGTTCGGACCCTTCGAAATAGTTGGAGTACTCGTGTCGGATACGATACGATATGAGTATGGGTAGGGGAAATATGTCGGATCCTCCAAATTTCAACCGGATACTTCGTCGTTTATGCTTCTTCTTCTTCTTCTTTTTATCTTTTCATTTTCTTTCCATTTCTTCTTTCCCACTTTTACTCTCTATAAACCCAGCATCATCACCAAGAGGGTGGAGAAATGCGGCGGCGTTAGGTTTTACCTTCTTTTTCTTTTTTCTTTCCATTTTCTTCTTTTTTTTCCCTTCTTTCTCTCTTTGTATTGGTGGTTTAGGGTTTTGTTTGTATAAATGCAAATGAGTTCCATATAATACTACTTAGTGCTCCACTAAGTCAAAGTAAAATCAAATTCCTCACTTTCTATTTTATATAACTTTTGGTAATTCCCATAATTGAAAACTAAATCTCAAAATTCTATTTTATTCGTCTTAATCTCTTATTAAATACGCATTTCCTTCATTGTGAATAATTAATTTTGGTCATCCTGGATTAGTAAAAAAAAAAATTGATGTTTGAAAGACGTGCCCACGTACCCGTGTCTGAAATTTGATTAAATTTGAACTCTTTTTAGCTATATCCTCGTATCATACAAATAAAATATCCGACACTTAGATACATACCCGATACCCGTACCCGAGTCCGAGCATCATAGTATGAAATAGAAAACATCATCTGCTATTTGAAGCCAAATATGATTCCTTTGGCTGGCATTAAAACTGTTCTTGTCCTTATTTCTTTGATGCACTCAACCAATGATCATGAAGCAGCTTCAAATCTCAATCAAAATTTCTTGTGCACTGCATAGAGATCACGTCACGATCTTCTCTCGCTTTCCCTTCTATTTCTACCTCCACCAATCACCATCAATGGATATCTCATGTGAGGTAAATCTTTTCCTTTGCCTCATATTTTTATTTTGAAGATAAATTCGACATATATCTAATAATCAATGTGATAGGGTGATCAATTTCACAATATCACCAAGAATGGTAAACCAGGGAAGTATCAAATTTATTAGATCTTAGCCTTCCTTCACCGCACTTCCATCGTTACTTCCAGAGTATCACTATTACCTCAACAACCATCCGAAAGATAAAAAATGAACCTAATGCTGATACCGTGTCTCTTTCAAATTCAGAAATCATATTAAATCCTTGTTTGGCATCTATTTATAATTGGTCACTTTTTATACATATATTTCATTTTCATGGGACCCACTTGCCCCCATTGATTTCTATCTATTTATAATTTAAACCGACTATGAACAACTCCCAAAAACATGCTTTAAGTTTTTAGGTTGTTACCTAATGGTGTTGCAAATGCATAAATTACTTTGTTGCATTTGCACGAATGGATCAAGATTTGCATAGCTTATAATTAGCTTGCAAGTTAGCAAGTGACAGATATAAATATTAATCCTCTCTTAGTTAAATATATCTAAATCCTACATTAGACAAAGTGACAAACTACAAACCTTCATATTTTGCTTTAACATTTTTTTTTTTTGATAAGTATATTTTGCTACAACATTGAGGACAATGCTGTCCAAAAGTTTAGGATGTGTCAAAACTAGATCTCTATGTATTTTGTCATTAAGTGTCAAATCAAATCTAGCTGAGTATTTGCTGATTTACTTCTATTATGAATAAAAAAATTTGACAAAGTACAAAAAGATTTTTGTTATGTTAATTTGGTCAGTCAACTTATTTGCTTAAGTTGAATTTCAGGTATTTAAGGTTAATTCTAGAAAAATGAAGAATGTTGCTACTCAAGTACCAATATTGCTTTAGATGATTGTCAATGTGAGGCTATCTATAGTCTATACTTGAACACATGACAATGAGTGAATTGTTGCTTTCAGCATAAGTAATTTCAAATTACTTCAAACAAAGTTGTTACATTTAGCTTTGTGCTTTGAGCATTTAACAGAACCCACGAAGTCAGAAATCAACGATCATGATAGCAAATGACTAATAGCTGCAAGTGGGAAGCAATATCACCCCTAACAATTTCCATATCCAATATTTAAAGCTACAGTATCCTTTAGTAACCATTGAACAATCCACAAAACATATATGACAAAATGTCATCCTCAAATCATGTCTCTATAATCATTAGTAAAGCGAGGTTCAAACTTCAAAGCATGAAGTCGTGGATATCAAGTGTGTAGCATGAGCCGCAATGCTCTCTACCTAGTGGCAGCAAGATATAATCACTTCAGGTAGTAAATAAAACATCTTCAAATAATTTTAATAAGTAGATTTATATAATAAATACAAATTTTGGGCGCACGTAATCGAACACACAAATCCTCTATATTCATTGAGATCATTTTCGCATTTTGCTGACCTGCAATTAAGTAGACCACAGATGCCAAGAAAACCATAGCCGAAGGAATGAACATAACCATCCAGTAATAATCAGCAGTCTCCTGATCCGTCAAAACAAACGCCCCTGTCAAAGGATCCGACTCCCTTCCACTGCCACCACCACCAACCTCCGTAAAATTAACGGCCAGCGGCTGAATCCGCAAGTCCCCACAGAAAGGCCGCCTCAATTTATCGTTTGGAAAAACTACTTTCAAGCTAATTATAGTGGAAAGCAAAATCGCAACAGAAATTAGGGTTAGTGTTAACAGTATAAAAGGCTTTTGGAGCTTGTGCCATGCCTTGTCCTCATCTCGGAGACAGTCGTACTCGTGTTTCGGCATGAAGGCCTGCCGTAGTGCATCTCCTATTATCGCCATTTCAGTAATTGCAATTACATATAAGTTTATTAATTAATACACATAATATTGGTATCTGTGTCTTTTGTGGTGGTGTTTTGTGCAGGAGCCAGAGTTAGGGTTTTGGGCAAAATTTTGAAATGAAAAATGAGTTGAATCTGAATTTTGTTAGTTGGTTTGGTTGGTGTTGTAGTTGAAGGTGGATAAATCTTGGCGGAGAAGGGAATTTTGATTGTTTAAACAGAAGTTATTGTATATAATTAGCCTCCTTTTGTACACATTTTCTCTCATCTTTCAAAACTTATTTTTAACCACACATTCTTTAATAAAATAATATTTTTCATAACATCAATAACTTTTCTTTACTTTTTAATTACATATTTCCAATCATATCACTATTTAAAATACATTCTTTACTCAATAATATCTATCAAACACGCCCTAATTAGTAAAACTGTTAATTTTTTGTTTGCACCTACTTCATTTTTAACCAAAATCCCAATCTACTTTTCACTATTCATTTTTATCTATTTATACTTTTTTTCCATTAGACATTTTATTGTATACACTATAGACAAACGGACACGGAGTGCCAAATCTCCAAATTCTATGGAGATGCCGTGTCTCCAAATTCTAT